TCTCTCTCTCTCTCTCTCTCGCGCGCGCAATCTCTCTCTCTCTCGCGCGCGCAATCTCTCTCTCTCGTGCAATCTCTCTCTCTCGCGCGCGCAATCTCTCTCTCTCGCGCGCGCGTGCAATCTCTCTCTCTCGCGCGCGCAATCTCTCTCTCTCGCGCGCGCGTGCAATCTCTCTCTCTTGCGCGCGCAATCTCTCTCTCTCTTGCGCGCAATCTCTCTCTCTCTCTCGCGCGCGTAATCTTTCTCGCGCAATCTCTCTCTCTCTCTCTCTTTCTCTCTCTCACATCCGCAGTGTTCGACGCACGGGATACCCGTTTGTCGCGTTGGAGCGGTATGGCTCGCGCGACAAATGAACTGCGGTCGAACACGAGTACCGTTTTTGTACCCGTTCGGACCGTTTCCCCTGCGCCACCTCCCCAGCAGGCACCCCGCGAACGCCCTGCAGGACGCAAAGGGGTTCGCGCTTTTTTTTTTTTTCCGAAAAAAAAGAAAAAAAAGAAAATGCATGGGGCGGTACCCGACAACAGACACTACCACCCCACACTTTCACAAAACCCCCACCCCACCCCCCCAAACGCGCGGAAACGCGGTTCGCGGACCCCATTCATTCGCGTCCAACGCGCATTTGAACGGGGATTGAACGCGAATTTAACGCGTGTTCAATTTTTCAACGCGAAACCCGCGTTGAATCGATTTTCGGACACAGTCCAAGGCCAAAGATTTGAAAATCGAGCATAACACAACTCCTCCCGTAAAGTAGGAAGATATGGCCTCGAAAAGATTCCTCGACGGAGAGGGACAAACCCGGAGGGCTCTGTTGATACCTCTTAGCCAGGTCAACCAGATCAATCTCTGCTGGAGAGACATACCCCTTAGCCAGGTCAACCAGATCACCCCAGTAAGAACCATCAATGAGATAAAAAGGGACCGGAGGACTAGGATAGTCAGCGTACAACTTAGGGAGAGCCTGAGAATAAATACTTTCACATGAGTTTCACCTTGGCCTGGTTAACTGTCTCCAAAGATGAGTCGGTACTGTGCAGTTTGCCATTGCGATCATAGAAATAAAGGATATACTCAATGTACTTTTTCTCTCCAACTCTCCGGACTGCACACTCCCTCAAGTTTAGGGTTTCCATCTCTCAGCCCTCGTACTATTCTCTGTCTCAAGGGACAAGACTTGATTCGAGAACCAAGGGTACTGACAACGAGCTACTACCGACCGTTCGTGAACTGACAAGTGTGAGGCAGCCCTCAGGAGATTGAAGTATCCCCTGACACTCTATGAAGTCGTCAAGCTTTCAGATCCTGAGCTGCCTTTCATTGTGACCACAAACGCCAACCAATATGTCATAGACGCAGTCCTTGCGCAGAAGGAGCTCGCAAAGAAAGAGAGGGGGAGAGCGGGTGGAAATCCGTACCTGCAGATCATGTGAGCCCTTCGTTTGGCTATATGCCATTTTGGTTGCGTGTATCTGCCCTGAAAGTGGGGTCAGATACACGGGTAAGTTAGTAAGAGCAAGTGTTCAAAGAGAAAGAGATGCGCACCTAATCCGCATGTTGGCCTAAAAGGTCGATATCTGCACGTACTGTCGTTGCAGATGATCACGTCTTGTAGAGAGGGATTGAGAGGCCGAAGGTCGAGCGCGGAGGAAAGGAGGAACAACTAGGGCGCAATTTTGCTTTACTGCTATTTAAAGGACTTGTCGCTGCTGACTGCTAGCCATTACAAGCCATGTTGTATATGCCATACAGTCATTGGGCTTTAGTTGCACACACTTGCTGTACATGAACTTCTTTTCATTGTACCAAGGTTTGTCTTTGTCTTAATTAACCTGAAAAAATATGAACTTAATCCGTCTTGCATTTTCAAAATGTGGTGGGGGATGCTGCTGAATTCTGGTTATTCTCCACCAAGGATTACTGCTGAGATTTCGCACGAAGTCTCGCCGTTGAGTTTCTTTGCAAGCCAGCCACTTGTTTCACTCGTAGAATTCTCAGTGAGTGGTTTTGCTATAAAAATGTAGCGGTGAATTACTTGTCGTTAGCCCACCCAGGAAAGGACTAGAGTAAGGTGAAGCTCTCTCATATACATCACAAATTGCTGAATTTGACTCCACTCTTGTATAGTGCACCATTGAACATTGATTTTGTTGGCAGGGAAGGCAGGGTGTTACGGATCATTGTCTCCACTCGTACACAAAACTAAGCACTTCTGAATATTAAGCTTGTTAGTACACAACGTGAGGTACTGTTGGTCGCTGCTCTTATCTGTGTACAGTGCAGTGTACCGTTGATAGCAGCTCCTGCTCGTATATTGTGTAGGGTACTGGTGGAAGTATCTTCATTCGAAGAGTGCATTGGGTTCAACTTGTAGCATATCTCGTTCGAATAACTCACAGGGTGTCTCAAACAGCAGTTCCTTACCGGATATGTTACAAGGTGATGTTGGCGTATTTTTAGCTCAATTATTACTCGAAATAGGACTTGAAATACTTTCCACTCAGAATACTAACCAAGATTGTGCCTGCAATGATTGTCGCTCGAATACTACACAGGGTAGTACTCATGGTAATCCCCACTCGAATACTACATAAGGTACTATTAGTAGTAGATCACATTCTAATACCACACTAAGCATTACAAGTAGTAACTCCCATTTGCATTGTACACTAAAAACTATTAATGGTAAATTCGCTTTTTGAGTCTTGCATGGGGCACCACTGACAAATACCTCCACTCTCATAGTACACGGTGTACTACCTGTGGTAGATCCCCTCTCGATTAATGCATAGGATAAAACTTGAACACCTGCTAGTATACCACACAAGATCATGGCAAAGAATGGGGCCAAGTTTAGACGCAGTTAGCATTCCGTAGAGAGAAATTTGTAATTATTTTACTCAAATATTGAACTATATATCATTTGACCAGGACTTCGTTTCAGGTGAAACATCGTGTGAAACAAGAGTCGAGCTCCATTTAGATATGATATTGCGCAGTGTCGCTGGCGTCAGGTCATGCTTGAACCGTGTGCATGACCAAGCGGCAGTGTACCCTTCTCAGGTAGTACTTAAGGGCAACCAAAGTTATGCACGGATACCCACACAAGAAAGTGGATTAACAGACCTAATAAGAAGAGTTTGTCGTGAGTTACAAGCACAAGTCTCCTCGACATTAGTATTATTGAAGTTCATCTCCTTTTCCTTTTAATCTCCATTTGGTAAATATTTAGCCAATAGGTAAGCTATTCTCCCCAACACAAGCTGCCTCTCACCCATCAATCAACAGTGCAAAAAGAAAGCAATAACGATCAAAGAGTCACACTCTGTCTGGATTTGTTTCTAAGGTCAGCTCATTCGAATTTCCTGGTCCCCATTGTTTCAAGCAGCCCCAAGAACTTATTTTTACATGGTACGACTCACAGGCATGGCCTTAGACTCTTTAGTGGTTGCTTGATGAACAATGCGTCCACCTGTAGATATATAGCTAGTTTGGACTAGGGCCTGGTCGTGACTTAACCATGTCACTCGTTACCAAACACCTTATTCCCAACAAGAGACAAAGAGGCTCTATGTCGATCACCTACCATGAGAGCACGGTGTGCAACCCGTAGTTTGTTTGTTGATGTGGTTTGGGAAGGGTAAGGTAGTGATTATGTTATATGTATGTTTTGTCATGTATACACAACTCGAAGAGAGTGTGTGTGGGGTCCCGGTTGGTGCTTTATTCACGATGTTCATGGGATGCTGGACCCAGTTTCTAGCAAGTGACGCTCCCCATCAATGGACAGGAGATGTGTGTGCATGCGTATGTGAGGGTGTGTGGGTGTGGGTGTGGGGGGGTGTGTGGGTGTGGGCGAGTGAGTGTGTGTGTGTGTGTGTGTGTGTGAGAGAGAGAGAGAGAGAGAGAGAGACAGAGAGAGCTGCAGCATGTCAGTGCCGGGAAGCACAAGGGCAGGCACTGACCTCCAAAAAGACAAAAAGTAAAACCTTTTTAAGAGGGTAATTTGTAGGCGGAAAACCTGCTAATAGATGATTATAGAAATTTCAAACAGGAAGACATTATAGCCCAAAGCGTTCCTCAATGAGCTAATGTTCTAGCAGCAAACCCACAAAGACAAAAGAAGGTGTGGGACCAAATCAGACTCGTTAAGCGATATTCAATTGGTACAAGAAGAACCGACCTCCGTAATTGAGCCCGTTTTAACTCGGTGAAATAATCAGTCATGACCCAAGAGATTACTCGCTGTAACCAACCTTCCTGTTTCCAGTTACCATAGGCACTTTGGCAGACTATGATCACACTTGTCACGTCTTTGAACTGACTGTGTCTGATCATGATAAACATGAGACAAACTAACAAATTTCCCACTTCTACCGTAAGTTATAGCGAAGACGAGTGTGGAAAGCCTTAATCGCTTTTACCGGATGAATTGCTGATGGCCACACTCTCGTGGACCTATGGGCCTACAATGCAAGTTTGACTCCCCTCTCTCTCGTGCATATCGATAGTAGCTTGTATAGTTGCGGGTCTGTCCTCTCCTCACAACAAGTGCGGTAAGACGATAGAGAGCGCAATTGCTACTAACTATGAACTCGTGCATAGGACTTTCAAGGGAGCAGTCTATGACTGTCTGATTTCAAGTCCATGCGTACCATCGGTATCCTGCTCTGCGCATCAACGCGCGGCCTCACAAAACCATTGTAGAAAGTGATACCAACAGGGTACGTCAACAATAAGTCTTTACGTAGAGCCCCTTGTGAGAGTCTTGCTTTCGTTCGCCTTTGCAAGGCCTCACTCTCAAGGCTATCTCACGTCGTGTATTTCGGTGCCCGATCTTAGACTAATAAAACCACCACTTGCGACGCTGGTCGGGTGAAGGTACAAATGACGCCTACCGCAGATGCTTAGCAGTTCGAGAAGTTTGACTTCACAGTCTTTGATATACTACAGGTCCCCCGATCCGCCTGCTCACTTCAACATCACCTTGACAGAGATGGAACTCACAATGGTGTTTGATGCAAATCGGATCAAAAACGTTGGCGACACCAAGCATGAGAAGCATACAGGTTTATTGCTTGCTTCTCTTGAGAAATCTGACTCGATGAACTCAAGTACGCTAGTACCATATACTATCGAATTTTTTCTCGCCACGTGAGGTGCGCAAGATGGTTGACGAAGACACAAAAACAATGTTGTTGACATCAATGGTTAGCTCCCTCATATGGGCCATACGAATGTCTGACCACCGATGCGCTTGCATACCTGCTGGTGTCTCGCGATCTCGTATTTCGTACTCACTTCGCGTTTGCCAATAACCGTCTTGCTGTCTCAGATCTTTCATCATCGTGAGTTGACTTCACCAAGGATTAGGCAACATCAATTATGGAGTGCACACTCTTTTTGCACACGTGTCCCAAGATGTCAAACTCTCAATAGTACTCGCATCTCTCTCATAAGCTACTTCGCTATTTATGACACGCACACTGCCCATGATTGTCTCAAAACTCACCAAGAAACGGGCGACATCAACCGTAGCATACACACACTTCCCTTGTGTGAATCTCATGGAGTCCGACCCCCGGAGTAACATTCTCTCTCACTTGCATATTGTCCTTCGCGTTTGTACCTGTCCTGGGCGATTGTCTCTCTAGGTCGTTGCTCGTAACTGCCTCAAGGCCTCAACCCTCTGGCGTCGCGAGCTGGCCTCAGGGCCATCTTCCACTGGTCCGACAGGTGGGTGGTGTCTCTGCCACTGGTCCAGCCCATGCCAGGATTGAGTATGCGCGTCGCCAGCCTCAGCCGTAGCCTCTGAATCGCGGTCCAAGTTATGTTGTTCTTTATCAGTGGTACCGGTTGAGGTTCCCGGCTTGTGGTGTGAAATGGTCACTTCGAGCTGTGTGGTAACATGGTCCCACTACAACCTTCTCTCAACTTTGTTCTTGGCCTCTGTAATTGCAGCCTGCAACTTATGATCTCTCCTCATCTCTTCTTCTCTACAATCTTTAACGTTAATCTTCAGTTTCGGTTCATCACCGTCAAAATTTAGGATTGTCGTGATCCAAGGGCATTCTCCCGATACTAAGGCCCAGCGTACCAGGAGCCTCCAGGTATCTGACCTATAGCTCTCTAACCCCTTTAAAGCACGCCATAGCCAATCTCGTTCCAAGCTGGCTACGACTAACGACTAGCCAGGCACTCACGCTAGGGGCCTACCAAACTCGGATAACTGGAAACTAAGCACTTTCTCTCTCCTCACTGCTATCCAAGCTCACTAAAAGGTGTTGCGGTTCCCGAGTTCTAAACAAGAGACTGGGAAGCCTTTTTAGATCAATAAATATATCAAGGATATGCTAAAATAATATATCGGCCAATAAGAGCTAGGCGGGTTAGTTGAGACTAAATTCCCAACGGCCACATAACAAATGCGCCCATTCGTGAGTACTTCCTACGGTCTTTTCGACTTAACTGGAAAAGACTTTGAGATCGGTGCGCAGTGGTCCCATAATGGGATACCGACCAACCACTTCCTTTCTTCAAAAGAAGTGCTACCTTCTTCCCTCGAATACAACGTATTGTCATTATAGTTGTATCTAGACTGAAAGATGTGCAATAACCCATGTGGTATGCCTCGTGGAAACTGAGGGCCTCGCCAGGCCACACCTAGAAAAAACCCCAGTAAAAGATTCAGGGCCTGGACGAGGCATAGTTGACAGAAGTCAATTGTCGAAAATTCCAACAGTCCAAGTCAAAGTGTACACAGCCGAGGCCGCGGGTCGGACACACATTTGTTTGTATGCAGGTACCCAGACGACATCAGGTCCAAGGGGGAAGTCTGCAACTGTACAATCCAGGCCCTCGGCTGAGAGACAATCTGGACTACTGTGGGAAAGGCAACCGAGGCCAGACAGCCTCGACAAATGCTACTTAAGGCTGGCCTTGAGTTGGTCAAGCATTCAGTCTTGCTATGCTGCTTGGACGTTGGCTTGACTTCGACCAGACGCTGGCTAGACGTTGGTTGGACGTCGACACTGTGGGCTACGATGACATTATGCTGGCGCTTTTTGCATTGTGCGCCAGGCGTGCTGAGGTGGCGCTGCCTCTGGTCTATATTGCATGCTGATGTGGTGCTGCCTCTGGTCTACATTGCATGCTGATGTGGTGTTGCCTCTGGTCTACATTGCATACTGATGTGGCGCTGCCTCTGGTCTACATTGCATGCTGATGTGGCGCTACCACTGGTCTTCATTGATGATGTGGTGCGCGCCACCTGTCTCGACTGCTGACGTGGCAGTGTCCACACTCTTTACATGAGGTGATTGGTTGTGAGGGGGAGGGAGATCGGGATATGTGGATGATTGGGATCGGGTACTCACCTGTGGTTGATGTCGTCACGGGAATCTGATGTGTCTTCATGGTCTTCAGGAAATAAGAGTGCCGCGTGGCACTATTGTGTGATCAGGATTATTATACTTGTTATCATATACTGGTTGTTGACGTGGAGAGGGAAGAAGCCCGGAGGAGTGGGGTTGACGGGATTACTCTTGTGTGATCTTTTATCATCTCTTCCACCTCTTCTGTTTGATCCCCCTCCACTCTCTTCGTCTAATGGTAATGAGATACTGTTTCAGATATCTTTTCATGATAATTGGAGACTATGTTGTAGATACTGAGACTACCGGTGTTGTATGACTCACGAGTATCTGCCAAACCGGGTTCATTACAATTTGGTATCAGAGCAAACTCTTTCATCACAATCTGCTGACGTGGCACCCTGGTAAGTGGGAGGTGCCGCATGTGCAAAACGAAACGCGTTTATTAACGCGCACGGTGAATACCGCAAGTCTAGACATTCTAGTATTGCATGCGCAAGCAGTTGTCCCTTGAAGATGATGATGTGGCTGCGTTGTTCATTACAATTTGGTATCGGAGCAAACTCTTCCATCACAATCTGCTGATTGTTGTCAGGTGCTGACGTGGCACCCAGGTAAGTGGGAGGTGCAGCATGTGCAAAACGAAACACGTTTATTAACGCGCACGGTAAATACCGCAAGTCTAGACATTGTAGTATTGCACGTGCAAGCAACTGTCCCTTGAAGGTGATGAAGTGGCTGCGTTGAAGATTTCAAGATACCGGCCAAAGTTTCGTTGGCAACAAACTGACGTGGCGCTGGTGCAGAGAGAGATAGGTACTGCTGATGTGGCGCATTGCTTATGTGGCATGTTATTGTGGCTGGGAATGGTCCGATGTGGCACGTACCTGTGTCGCTATTGCTTGCTATTGATGTGCTGACTTGGCATGCCGGTGTTGAGTGTGTAGCAGACCTGCACTGCGACATGGCATCCCTCCTTGTAGACCTTTCCGGTCCTTGACGTTGGCGTGGCAGAACTGCTGCGTTGGCATGCAAGGGGTGACACGTGGCATGCATCAAGGCTGATGAGGGTGTGAGTGTGCAATTGGGTTGCATTGCTACTGTAGATGGTACAACCAAAAGAAGAAGGAAGCTAACCATTGATTGATTGTTGTGTTGGCTTTCTACTCACCTGTTGATTGTCTGTGGTTGTTGTGTATACTTAGGAGTGTGTTGTTGTCCTGATCACACTGGTCGTGGCTGCGGTACCTGTAGCTGTAGGACGTCATCATAAAGAACAAACCGCAAAGTTAGGACTTGGAAATTAATTGATAACCTACTTCTTTGTGTTTGCCTTGCTTACTTCTTGCTGTAGGATTTGCGTGTGCCGTGGAATTTATTCTTGTCTTCTAATTTTATTTATTGTGCGGCATCGACATGTTTGGAAAAATGAATTCCCTCTAGAAATGTTTGTGTGCCTCCATCTTGACGTGGTTCATTCCTCTTCTTTTCTTCCCCATCTCTCTCATAGTCTATGTCGATGAGGAAGGGGGGGAACTAAGGACCTGTGGCCAAATTGAAACAAGAAAGCAGACCTTCATCAGGTTTCTTCACCAGTTTCTCGATGAGGTACACGGCGCCAGTTCAGAGATTGAACAGCGGATTCATGACCAGTTCAATCTGCGTGATGCAGAAGGTGAACAGAAAGCCGCGGAAACCGCAGGTCATTTTGAAAAGGTCGAGGACCTCATAAAGCAAGGACGAATAGTCCTTGACCGGCATGTTGCCGAGAATCTGGACAAGATGGAACAAGAAAGGAAGAAAAGGAAAGAAGGTAGAACCACAATTGTCCATTGAGATAATGGAGGAGAATGTTAGGCAACCAGAAAGCACACTGAGAGAAGAAAGAAGAAAGATTGAGGAATTCCGAAAACTACAAGAAGTGCAAGAAGAAAAATAAAGAATCATGGATGAATTAAGGCAAAGATTTCATTATGAGGAAGCAGGCAGTGAGCTTGCATCCATCCTTCAATCTATTGTGATCTACCTCGTTTCCCTTGAAAAGAAGATTGACCGTAACACTGCTTCGTTAGAGACAGTGACCACACTCCTAAAGGGAAAGGATAAGGTAGGACCTCAGGAGGAGACGGAGGGGGAGGTAGTGAAGAAGGAACCCCATGACAAGTTAGTGAAAAACGTCATGAAGAGAGTCACGTCGGAAAAGTTTGATAGTTCTAAGAAAGAACCTGAGAGACCGGCTGAAAAGGAGGAACCCACCAAAAAGGAAGAACCGGTCAAAGAGGCAGAGAAGCCGAAAAAGAAAGAAAAAGTCAAGATGAAATTGTCGTTCATGTACAACAACAAAAAAGACGAGAATCTGTTGTTGTGGATTGGGGAAATACAGACTTACTGCGGAACCGCGCCCGTTGAGCCGGAAAGTCAGGTCGCTTTCTCCACATCTTGTCTCGGAGGAGTGGTCAAGGAATGGGTGCTGGCCGAAGCCAATGCCGTCGGTTTTGAGGATATCGGTGAGTGCGCTAAGACCCTTCACCTCGAGCAATTTCTCCAAAAGATCAAGGAGAGATTTTTTGACAAGACGACGACCGATAAGGCCTTCGACGAACTCACCACAATCAACCAGAAATGGTGGACTTCAGTAGATGCGTTGTCACGTGAAGTTGACCGTCTTTTGCAGGTACCAGGGTTGAACTTACAAGACAATCAGGTCCTGTATATATACTCACGTGCACTGCCCGAGCCCATTCACGGACAGCTCCTGGCATAAGCCAAGTCTGGTAAGCACAATTATTGGCAATTTCACGATCTCGCTCTCCAACGAGAGCAGATGACTGCACAAGTGAAAGGTACGTACGCTTCGGTAGTAAAGTCTGGACCGGTTGGTGGATATGGCAAGCGGGTCCTTTGGCGGCAAAAACGCCAGGACCACATGTTTGTAGTGTTTGATGATGATACCGGTAGAAAAGTTACCCCTCGTCGAGTCTGAGGGAGGAGGAGGTAACGGCAGTAGTGAAACTGGGAAGGGTGATATCACTGCCGTGATGGCCAACAAGGGAGGCCAAAGCCAATGGAAGAAGAAGAGGAGGCCACACTCGTTTCCCGAGCATCCCGACATTGCGTTCGGGAAGCCTTGGGAGAACATGAACATGACACGAGAGGAGTGGCAGTCCAAAATGACAATCGCCAATGCCTCAAGTGTAGCACCGTGGGTCATGTGATTGCCTGCTGCCCACTTATTAGGGAAACCTAAAGGCGAGCAGCTAGTAGGAGTAGGCATCTGCTCCTACTGAGCCGAAGGGCTTAGACGAAGACAAAGGTAAGGTGCCCTACAATCCCTTCTACCCCTTCGACTCTTAAGGCAGAGGAAGACTCTTTTCCCGCCCATCGTCTAGAGCACCCTAATATTGTTCTTTGCTCTGTCTCACTGGACGATTCCATTGACGAGCTCGACAATGAACTTATAGCACTACGAAGTTCGTGGGCGAAGAAAGCCAAGTCTAAGGGTGAACTGATGATCACGGATATTGAGGTTACGCACACGCGAGCAGGTGCTTTGTTAGATCCAGGATCGACGCGGTCTTATATCTCAGAGAAGGCAATTCGAAAATTGCATTTGGGAATGAAGGTGAAATACTTACCTCGACCTATCATGTTTGTGCCGGCTGACAAAAGCACGATCACTGTCTCTCAATACGTCGATCGTGTTAAATGTTATTTCAGGATCAAGGAAGGTAAGAAGATTTTACATGAGGTATCCTTCCTAGTAGAAAAGAACCTACCGTTTGATATGATTTTGGGAATGGATTGGCACGAGGAAGCCGACCCAGAGGTAAGGTTCAAAGATAAAATTGTCAAACTGAAGGACGAGAT